GAGAGAGAGAGAGAATCCAGAAATTCCATAAATTTCAGTAACTGTATCCTCATATCCCCATAAATCACGCATAATTCCCACCCTGCCGTTCCTCTTGAAACCCGAAGCCGGCCGGCGATCCTCCGGGCGGCGAAGGTCAGGTGGGAAAGCCCCGAATGAATTTCCGAGTGGCTCGTGAATCGATCTTTAGCAGACACACGATTCACCTTAGGATCTGGCTCCCACCTATCACCGACGAGATAGCGCACGTGCATACGTCGGCACGATGAGGTAGACGCACGAGCGCCCGACGACGAGAACGAGTAGGAGTACTGACAATCGAGCGACGGCTTCCTTTTATCAGTTCAAGTCGAACCGTGCGCGGCACGCGGACACCTCCGTTGCGCTCCGAAAATCGAAAAGACGCGCCGATCGAACTCCGTTTTTTTTCCTTTTCTCCAGTTCGCGACACTTAACAACGCTGGAAGACCCGACGGAGCGCGGACACTTGTCGCTGCGGCCGGCTTTGCGTGAATCTCGCGGAAGGACGCGCGTAGGACACCGAGGTCAGAGGATATTCGCACAAGGATCGGTATCGAGGCTGTCGTTCAGGCTGCTATTGATACCGGATTCACCAACGGATTCTCCAGGATCGAGGGCATCACCGGTGAACATCGACACGCTGGCGCAAACTCGATGTGAGCTTTCTACGTGAGTATCGAATACCTGATATCTGGATGATCATTGTTCTTTTATCGGCAATTGGTGTAATCCTGAGAGCTTTGTTGTTGAACCACCGCTTCCGATGAGCGGTCAGTAGATGGACGAAGTGATTATTGATAAGTGTAATCGACAGATTTTTATGCTTTAATTTTGAAGAGTGCGGGTGAACTTGTCGATCATGAAATTGCAAATTTTTACGCTCAAAAAAATAGATTGGATTTTTCCTTTTGATAGACAAAAAGGTAAATTTGAAGTAAATAATAAATTGAAATAAATATTAAATAAATATCGCGTGATATTAAACTGCCACGTATTTTCGCATTTTTAAAATTTATCTTTTAAACGAACAAGGTATAAAAACGTGAGTGACGTAAAGTAGTTGCGATAATTTTTCTAAGTCGGTTGATATTTAGAAGCTTTTTAAAATGCACGTTGCATCTTCTTGTTTTGCAATAATGGCACCTTACCTGGATTAATTAAAACGAATGACTTTATGAAGATACATGATAAGACTAAGAAATTATTTGTGAATTTCGTATAACGATTGATCTATGCGAAGAATGCATCTACGGAATGGTTATCTCGTACGATATCACAATTTTCAGTACACAATTTATCTTGAACAAAGTCTAAAATAAAAGGGTATTATTTATCAACTTATAAATAACATTTGTTCGCGTGAGAATTATATCGAATAAAATTATATTTATGAGATAAAATAATTGTTATACTTATATATGATTATACTTATATATGAAAAGTATTGGCACGCTGATACCAAATAATTGATAATTATATCTTTAATCAAAATACATGATTGAGTGCATATCGCATAAAAATTAAATTTATTATCGACAATCGTATTATATTAATTATCAAATTTAGATTATATGATAATTATACAACACTCGAAAGTCATAATTATAAGGATACATATAACAGTGTTGGAATAAATTATATTAAAAGTAAACCTAACGATGTATCAAGCTCAATTTAATAACTATCGATTATTTATTTTGTCGGTTATTACTTAATATAACCGACTTAATATAATAATTAATATTATAAGGAATCCATCAACATTAAGAGACCGTCATTTATTTATTTCATCTATTAAATTAAATTTGACAGATACAATGCGAAAAAATATCAAGTTTTGCAGAGAGATGGATGGTATTAATTATTACAAACTTCGTTATTTATTATTTATTCTAATTGTTATTTATTTTTAATTATTTATCGTTCTATCAATCCTTGATTAGCGAATCTGTGCGATTCATTTGGCTTGATCTATATCGAACTTTTTCTCGACTTCTATATATAGTCGAGAAAATATAAGTCGTCAGCCCGGATTGGACAGCAGGCATGGCAAAAGGCGCACGCGTCCCTTTCTCGCACACGCACGCGTAATTTAGTTCCCGCGACACGTGCGATCAGATTAAGTCGCGACGAAAGATCTTCGGTTGCCACTATCACCCCGTCGACGCTCCGCTGATTCTGCATATTGCGTTACACCAAGTGTCAGGAGCATCACGCCTGCTGGTCGGAACAACGACTCGAGCGTTTTTATTATCGCTATCAATTACCAAAGGCAAATCACTGAAAAATATCAACGATACTTCTAAAGAAAAACTACTTTAGCTACTTCAACTTATCACCGACAAATATCGTGCGATGAGCAATGATGCATTTAGATAAGTCGAGCAACGTCACAGATTCCAACAATCTTGTTTTTTTATTTAGAATTAGAAAACGCGTGAAAATAAAATTAATGAAATGGAATAGATTTATTAACTAATATATATATATATATATATTAATTTTTAAAGACCTTAAAGAGAGAGAGAGAGAGAGAGAGAGAGAGAGAGAGAGAGAAGAAGAGTATTATATA